GCGCCAACTGCGACCTCCACAGCTCCCTCCTCCAACCACACTACCACTACGATACTGCTCACACAACGAAGACAGCACACCTATTGACGAGGAAGAATGTCTTTTGTCGCTACTATCACCTAATCCCGATGCGAAGAAGAATAAGGAGCATTTCATTTTAGCTACGGCTGATCCAGCGCCGGAGACAACTACTCAACCAGACCAGAAGCGCAAACTGCCTCATTGGATGCAGGCGCAGGAAGGACTACAGCAGCAGCAGCAACGAGGGCAGAGATATCACTTGAGACGAGATGCGAGACAGATACCCGGTGTGCCGATTATATATGTTAAGCGCTCTGTGATGATCCTAGAGCCTATGAGCGAGCCGTCTAGTAATATACGGGAGGGATTTGAGGAAGGAAAGCTACGAAGTGGATTTATAGAACCTGCCACATCTACTGGAAAGAGGAAGAGAGGTGCAGAAGAGGAGGAGGAAGAGGATGGAGATGGTGGAGAGTGGGTGGAAGTCAAGAAAAAGAAGAAAGTCAAGGGAGTAAATCCGCTGAGCATGAAGAAGCCAAAGCAGAGGACCCAGACTGTGCAGAAACCGAGGAAGGCTGATGAAAATACAGCAAAAGGAGGCAGTGATATTGATAAAGGAACAGACGGAGCAAGCGAACAGACAAAATCGAAGAGGAAACGACGGCATAAAAAGAAGGCTGAGCCGATTGACGGAGCTGAGAAGGACAACGATACCCCAATTGCAGATACAGAGATATGAACTGTCTAGAAGCATTGAAACGAATATAGTAATACAGCTTCACGGCCAAACTTCATCTCCTTCATCGTACACTAAAGTAGAGATAACCCGGTATATAATTTGTACAGCGGAAATGACAAAAAACTCCCTAACTCCAAGCTACCCAGGGACATCTATGCGTCCATGATGGAGCCTTAACTGCTCGATTTCATCTGTCCTTGTGCCGCATCCTCGTTCCACAGCTTCTCGATTCTCGCCCTGTTCTCCCTAGCCTTCTCTCGGTTCCGGGATGCCCGCTTCAGTCTCTCGGCGTACAGGCAGCGGTTGACTTCTCGCTTGATATCGTTGCAGTTTCCGAAGACTTTGTGCATGAAGCCCTTTGCGTGGCATTCGTCCAGCATTGTCATGACCTCCTCGCAGTCTAGATGATCAGCAAGTGTCGACGCGGAAGTAGAAGCCGTCAACTGGAGCACCTACTGATGTTGTCTTTTGTGTGCAGGTGGGAATGCATTGTGGCAGTCCGCTTCTTTTCTTTTCTTCTCCTATTTCCTTGATTTATTCCTGTCTCTGACTGGCTTCCTTTCGGTCTCTCGGCCTCGTCTTCTGCTTGTCTGTTGCTTGCTTTGCTTCTTCTTGTTTTCTTCGACGTCAGCTTTTCGGTGATAAAATTCTGCCACAAGGCGGCGAGCGCATAACTTAGTTAAATCCACCCGATAAACAAAAATTTCTGATAAAGGAAAAAAAAAAAAAAAAAAAGGGAAAGCTTCGCCTTTTTGTCCTCAGTTACAATTTTTGACAGCTTCATATTTATATCAAGGAGACGGTTGACCGGCCATTCAAGACGCTGGAGTCGTTATAAATATATTGGAGTTATACCCTAGCCAGTTTATTTGGCTGGTCCTGCGCGCAATTGCAGGTAAAACTAGAGACTTGATTCTGCTACGAGAGCAGTCCCCCGCCATAGGCATTTCCAGCCGTAGCACGGCTTTGGATCGCACAGGATGTCGATGATAACAGCTACAGGATGGGTTCGACGAGGCGTGGCTGCCCAGTTCCCCGAACGCTACGAGATAGACGAAGCAGAGATAAGTCGAATCTCGAAACTCGCCAAAGTTCAGCTTGAAAGTGCGCGGACAGACCTGGAAGCTGCCCGGGATGCGGAAGGCGAAGGGGAAGACGAAGACGATGTCATGGAAACAGTAGACGATGCAGAGGTAGAAAAGGAGAGTGAAAAGAAGGGGGAGGAGGAGAAGAAGAGCAAGGCGGAGGACGAGGATGATGAATTGGCGGAATATGATATGGAACACTACGACAGTGACCCACGAGATGAGGAAGGAGAGGAAGTGACCATGTTTGGCAATGTCCAATCTCTGGCCTACCATCAACCACACGAGAAAGACCCCTACTTGGTGTTACCGAACAAAGCAGACGGCGCTGGTGACGATTCTGACGAAGAGCGAGAGGATCTCCAGATTCTACCATCTGATAACCTGTTGTTGGCTGGTAAAGTGGAAGACGAGGTGGCGCATCTAGAGGTATACGTCTATGAAGACGAGGCAGACAACCTATATGTCCATCATGACGTGATGCTGCCAGCGATCCCTCTCTGTGTCGAATGGCTTGATATACCCGTTGGCAGCCAGGCCAGGGAAACGGGTCGATCGCATGGCAACTTTGTCGCCGTTGGAACGATGGAACCCGACATCGAGATTTGGGATTTGGATGTGGTGGACTGTATGTACCCTAGTGCGATCTTGGGCAAGGCACCGGATGACGAGGGGAAGCAGCAGCAGCAGAAGAAGAAGAAGATAAAGAAGAAAAGCGCGATCAAGAAAAATGACGAATACCATGTTGATGCCGTGCTGGGCCTAGCTGCAAATCGCCAACATCGGAACCTGCTCGCTTCTGCATCCGCAGACTGTACCGTCAAACTATGGGATCTGAACGACGCAAACACCACCCGCTGCGCCAAGTCGTACAATCACCACACGGACAAAGTATGCTCTATCGACTGGCACACCAAGGAATCAACTGTCCTGCTAAGCGGCTCGTACGACCGCAGTGTGGTAGCGTGCGACATGCGCTCGGCAGAGGGCCAGGTTGGCCGTTGGACGGTCCCAAGCGACGTCGAATGTGTCCGCTGGGATCCGCTGGACTCCAACATCTTCTACATCACTACGGACGGCGGCCAGGTAGTCTGCCATGATCTTCGAACACCAGACTCTGCACTATGGACTCTGCAGGCCCACGACAGCTCGGTATCGTCATTCGATGTCAACTCTTTCATCCCTGGCTTCCTCGTGACAGGGTCAACGGACAAGACGGTCAAGATATGGAACATCCTTGACAATAAGCCAAGCATGGTCGTCAGTCGTAAAGTGGAGGAAGTCGGTAAAGTGTTTTCGACTGGCTTTGGACCCGATAGGGGGGTTGCGTTCCGTCTTGCTATTGCTGGTAGTAAAGGGGTAGTGAAGGTATGGGATACGTCAACTAACGGGGCCGTCCGCCGGGCGTTTGCTACCAAGATGGCGGCCAGTGCGGAGGAGATGGGTGTAAGGGAAGGGAGAACCGAAGTCGACGGACAGGGGATGGTTGGTGTTGCTGATGATGAGGAGGAAGATGACGATAGTGACGACGAGGAGATGGCATAAAATTGATAGTTGCAAAAGTGTGTATGGATCTAGAAGATATTAATATATCATGGCGTTTCATCTACATGATGTATCACCCACCCTATACATCGTACTATATGCCACTTATCCGACCGCTTGTTGGCCGTTGTATCATTATATATATGAAATATTTTATTATATTAGGGGGGATTAAGACGTATCCGATTCAATTTACGTCCAGCTCCCAAGTCAGGACTCTGTTCTCCATTTCTCCCAGGTTCTTCTCCAGAAGTCTCTCCATCTCCGCATTCTTACCTTGTTCAAGGAGACTTAACATATCCCACCAAGTCTCTTGGTCTCCAGTGAATCTCCGGTTAATCAATGCCCAAAACACCGAGTAAAACGCACAGTTCTTTCTAGCAGCGAGGTAGACGACCCCCGAGATTTCCCCTGTCCAATTCTGCTGCATGACGCCAGATAGCCGTTCGTTTCTAGTGAGTCTGCATCTGGCTATGGCTGCTGCATCTTCCTTAATTCGAAGACAATCTAAGAATTGAAGACGAGGCTGGTAGACTTTTGCCAGCCATCGGTACCTCCCGAGTAGTACTCTGGCTGCTCAAGTAACTCGCTCCCACCAGGGGGGAAACATGAGAGAACTCGACAGGAGCAGCGTAGGTGAACTCCCGGTCTATAGTCCCAACTGTTTTTGGGTCCTTTGTTTAGCAAGATATCCGGTGTCTAGGGCTGTGAGCATGACATGGTGCCCAACTCTGAGCAACGTCTGGCCTGGCAGGGGATGTTCCTGGATCTCTGAATATTGATCAGGCTGAAGCTTTAGATGTTGTAAGTATGGACAGGCGGTGGACGTGCTGCTGCAGCTGTCCAGGCTATCCCCGTATTGAATCCTGGGGCAAAGAGTCCCAAGATGACTTTACCTGGAAGGTAACTAACTAGCCAGTCACCGGCTCTGCATCATCATGAACAAGTACCCTCCCTCTCAGACAGCTGCTTGGCCCACGCATCGCAGACAGCATCGCTCTCCTCCCGGGCAACATCTTCGCCCGGCATGTGAGTGAGCATGTTGTCCACTGTGAAGTCGTTAGTTAGATGGCCGGACCTGGTCTGGCCGTGCGAACAACTAAGCTAGCCCCCATTGGACTGTCAGCCCCCGGGGAGCAGTTACATACTAACCAACTTGTTAGATACGAGCCCTGATTCTCCAGAGTAATACTGATGTCCTTGCATGGGGTTTCATCTTTTAGACGGCGGTTAGAGCCCATCCCTCGCAAGGTGGCCATCGCCACCTCCATGCCGCCGCCCTCACGACTGTCTTCACCATCGCCATCGCCATAGTGATTGCTGTCTTGTGTGTGCGTCAAGCGCCCATGTTATTCTCTCATCTGACATCGCCATGGCCCCGTATATGTGTGGACTGTCCATCCCGCCGTCCCTCCGCTCACCCGCCCACCCATGCAACAACAAGTCACTCTCTGTGACCTGGACCGCAACGTGTTGGCGACTTCCCGTGACTGGCCGGGTGCTGTTTGATCGCCCGTTGACGTTTCACCAGACTTCCCGGCTCGCTTCGCGCTGACAGGCGACCAGCACCTAAGAAAGGGGCCTCCCCCCCCTCCCCTCCATCCCTCTCTCTAAAAGCGCTTCTCCCGCCCTCCTCTGGCCCTCCCCTTGCCCTGCCTCCTTCTTCCTGCTTGTCTTCCTGGCTTCTTCTTTTTCTTCTTCTTCTTCTTCTTCGCTTTCTTCGCTTTCTTCGCTTTCTTCGCTTGTTAAAGTCAGTCTGACTAAGCGGTGCCTGGACTAAACCGAAAAAGGAAGACCCACTCTGGGAAAACCTTAAAGTTTCCCCTCTTATCTAAGCAGCCCCTCTTACATAATCAACCTTCTTCCTTTCGCCTTTTTTCGTCTTTCTTCGCCTCTCCTTCGCCTTCATCGTCGCCGCTCCTTGACGTCTTCTTCATCTTCGTCTTCGTCTTCTTCTTCTTCTTCCTCCTCTTCTTCATCTTCTTCTTCCAATCTCCTTCTTCCGTCCTGTCTTTCTTCTCTTTGCGCCCTTCGATAGAGCGTCCTGGCTGCCGCTCTCACTCGCCCACGTAGATCGTCTCTTACCGCCCTGCCCTACCAGCTTGACGCCCGTAAGGCACTGACAAGGCACAAGGCATCGCTGGCTGCTGTCCTCGCTCTCTTCACTCACTCGAATTCGAACTCGGACTCGACAAGACGGACCATCCCACTCTCGTTTTTGATACTCGACCGACGTCGTTTCCGTCTCAGCTTACGCTCTTTTATCGCATATTCTTGCGCTTTCACTCGTTCTCCGTCGCGGATCTTCTGCGTTTGCGCCATTTCTCTCCGCCAGTTGAAGGACCAGCACCGACAAACGGCGCAAGATCCCATCATTTAAAAAGGCCGCTGACTCCTTCTGCCATCAATTCACTTCTATCTACCCTCTTTATCGTCGAATCACCCCGGCTGCCTGTTTGATATACAGGCAAAAATGTCCGCTGCAGTGTCGTCCTCGCTGGGCCGCGCTTTTACCAAGCGCCAGAAGCGGCCAGAGGTGTCCGCCCCCATGCCCTTCCGCGAGGGACAGCCTCGTTTCGCTGCCGGAACTATCAAGCGATCCAAGATATCAGCGCCAGTCGAGCTGCTGTCCACCACAAACCTGCTTGCATACACTGCACCAGACATCCAGAAACATGGCAATCAGGGACACAGTCACAAGAACCAGCCAGTTATCTCGCGACCCATCATCCAACGCCAACACTCAAACCTCCAACATTCCACATCATCTTCTTCCTCCTTCCGATCAGCAGACGAGTCCGACGCCAGTAACTCGTTACACACCCCTAGCACCACAATTACCTCGCCGTCGCTTCCAGGTTCTACAGAGGCCTCGCCTATCCTGCGAGACAACGGCCACCAAAACTTGACCGGCTACTTCGACCAGCAAAAGGATGGTCCACCAAAGGCACCACAAGCTTCCCTGGAACAGAGCGCTCCTCCACCTTCCATCCCCACCCGTGCACTTAGCCATACCAAGAAGTCGCACCAGGAACTCTCTCGCCAACGGTCAAACTCCTCAAACGCCTCGGCGGGTCGACGCACCCCATCCTTATCCAACACATCTTCTCCAAACTCCACCTCGCTCTCCTCAACTCACGCCGCACACTCCGCCGCCGCCGCCGCCTCCTCCTCCTCCCGCTCACATGCACAAGACGTTCATGCCCACCCATTCGGCAAAGAGCTAGAACAAGTCAACGAGGTCGCAGAGGAGTTTTCCGCTGGCCAACTCTTCCGAGACGAAGATGAAAAGACCCTCGCTGCAAAGGGCCTCGTCAAAGTCGATGTAGTAGAGTACCTTGAGGAAGTCAAGGGCGTGTACGCCTACGTCTTTGGCGGAGATGTCGCCAAGCGGGACTGGATCTGATACTTGAACCCTGGCCCCACATATCCTGGAGTCGTGCAAATGTGTTACCGGTGGCTGATTTGATACCCTTTTTCTCTCCTTTTCTCGTCCCCCTGTTTTATTTCTGTTCTGATGGGTCATTATTTCATGTGATATCATACCATTTTATTCCCTCCCTTCGATTCTCATGCCATGCTCTGAAATGTGTGATGTGTTATCCTATTCCCAACATTTTTTTTTTACCACCTATAAACTTATCACGCTTCGATTCTCAGTCAAATACCTTGTTTATACTTGTATGCAAGTCATCTTTATTATTGATGATTTACCTTTTCTTTTTACCCGTGCGCTTGCTGGTGGCTTGTGCTGTGCATGCTTGATGCATTTACCACAACGTCATTTTGCAGCCGCCATCACACTCTCTTTTGTGTCATATTTGACTACTTTTTCCTTCTTGTCCTATAGTTTATTTCTATTTTATTTTAGACCGGAATATGATAGCTCATCAATCAAACATTCATTTATACAATTGCTCTTACACATATATCTGTGCTACTATGATGGCACTGCGTTTTTCTCGTTCAATCGTCTATACCGTCAAATACCCTTACTCTACAGGCGCCAGTAACCCTTTTGATATCCTCGAAGAGAGCTGCAACCGATGTCATGTATGTGGCAGCGCAAAAAGTATTTCCTGCAAAAAGAAGGCCAACCATAGAGGCGTTGCTGTCTAGAATAAATGCTCCAGAGTCACCTTGGCCGGAGAACAAACCCTTCCCATTGTGAGGCACAATTGCCCACTGGATATCGTAACTCTGAGATAGAGCGTCTCCAGATTGGCCTCCCAAGCCACAAGAGCGAAATCTTGTTGTTTCAATCCCATTCATGATGCCCTTCGTAAAGCCTGTCGATCGACCAAGCTTGAAAACGTTCTGGCCTGACACTGTATCAAAGTTCGCCTCCGTGACATGGCCTCCATGTATTGTTGGGTTGAAATATGGCGATACGAGTCCGTCAGGCAGCTTGTTTCCTGATACTCTTTCGGGACTGACATCTATTAGCGCCCAGTCGAGACTATGGCTGTCCTCATCCAGTCGGAGCCCAGAACCAGCATAAACCTTGCCGAAGTAGTTCATTCTTTCCAGCATAAACTCATCTGCAATCCGGATCTTCTCTTTATGAGAGGTGATGAATATTAGTCCATGGTCAAGTACTCCCTGCTCCTGTCGGCTAAGGAGTCTGTCAGGATCATTAGCCAATGCCAGGACCCGGTAATACTCTGGCGTCTGAAGACATGCAATAACCTCTCTGCAGTGAGCTACTATATCTTCGTAATCTCTACGGCAAGGATGGGAAACTTCAATATTGTTCTTCGGGTCGCTGGGTCGAAGGCCATGCGTTTGCCATGTTTCGATTGCTGGACTGTCAGTCTCATCGTTGACCACGCAGTGGAAACAGGTAAGACCACAGGTCCTAGACTTGCCATCTGAGAAATCTAACACTATAAAGCCACCGAAAGATCCTAGTCGTTTGGAATCGTGTAATCCAGCTAAACTTCCTCCGAAGCGAGCTTTTGCGCTGGGGCCACTTTCATCAAAGAAGTTATTGTTTTTGTCAATATCATGGGAGCTATAGACTGCTCCTCTCCCTATTTCGACCGCCACATTGTCAAGTCCAGCAGTACTGAGGACGTCGACAATCCTGTCCCTAATTGGCCGCCAGGAATATGCGTCATTTGTAGAGCATTCTGGTATTGTGATGACAACTGTAATAATTCCTTCGTTGTCTATCGGACCGCGTCGGAGTACATCCAAGGTAAGCCACCTTTTGTCGTTAATTATTTCGAGAACCCTGGGTTTCAGCGCCGGCCAGTGTTGCACAATGGTATCACTTAAGAGAATGGCAGAGGATATTCTTGGTATATAGGCGATGGGGTCACCAATCTCAACATTAACCTCTTGGCCAGCGGAGGTACAAATAGCCCGAATTTTCCCGTAGAGCTGAAACCAAGTATCTTCAACTGTACGATTGTATTTGGCTTTAGCAATAATGAGAATAAATGGTAGAGGCTTATCACGAGATTCCCTCCAACGCCGCTTAAGAACTGACATCGCCTGGAAGTCGATATTGGACTCCTGGATAGCTTCCATGATTTTTCCCCGCATTTCTGAATCAAACACGTGGGTTATTGGGTCAGCAGAGGTTATAGGGAACGTAGCAGCTGGCAGACGGCATAAGACTGGCCCTCCCACTCGGTGACCTTCATATATGATTTCAGGTTCTTCGAGATCTGGCAGGGGGCTATCATCCAAGGATGAAGAGTGGTTGCACTGTCTGAGCCATTTTCTTTGAGGTTGGGATTCGGATACACCAGCCTCTGATAGTGATGTGGCTATTAGTGGTAATGGTCCCGCATACACCACCTGGGATGTATGCGGGTACGTTATACTGACCATAAGCTTTCTAGTCTATATATGCTGTTAGGTGGGGAAGGACATGTTGAAAGTCAGAAGTAACAAGGAATTTATTTCAAGGACTGGATGTGGAATCTAGCAAGCTTCATAACAGTGACTACACATTCCGCTACTTCACTGCACTGACCTTAGCAGAACAGTCACAGCCACATGCAGAGTCACAGAGTATCGGAGGGCAGAACTGTGTGCTGGAAACAGAAACGGTCAGAAAGTCGGGGGACAAAAAAAAGAGGAACCTGAGAAACTGATATGCTAAAGGCCAGTGGCTGATAGAGGCAGGGTCCCCTTTTATATTACAAGGCGCCCAGTGTCGATGATGTCAAGGTCAAGGAGACGGGAGGACGTTTAGGCTTTTACTTAGCGGCAAACTTTAACTAGTTAGTGGCCGAGCTCGCACATGAACGACCGAGTTAAAGCCCCACTTGCCGCGCTAAACAACCAATCCAAGAGGTCCAGGCGCTTGCAATGCAGATATATTATTAGAAACATAAGCACTTGGGCCCTACAGAGTATTTACTACGTAGAAGGTTGTGCAATAAGGAGAGTAAAAGCACCTATAAGTCAACACTGGTATTGTATAGCTGTAACAACAATCTCTCGGTAATACGTTCGCTATTAAAAATACACTCGATTCAAATCGGGAGAAGCACTCGGTACACGCAAGTACTAGAGCACCACAGCCTGCCAGATAGTAAGTAAAACAGTTTCTTCACATTTCTTCCCAACCATCCCTTTCTCTGTTCCCCTCATCCCCAGCGCCCTCGCCGTCGTCGCTTCGCGTCCCAAAAAGGAAACTGAACACAGGACAGCTGAGTCATCATACGCGTGACTTCTTGGCGCGAACCCCACAAAAGAGAAGGAAAAAAATATTTTTTTTTGGGCGGGCAGAAAAAGCATCACCGCCTTTTGAATTTGTCTCTTTTCTGTCCACCACACAAAACGACACGACAAAAAGAAGCGACTTCAGCTTCGGCATCGCCAGGCACACAATAGATAGATAGAGCAGCCAGCTTCAACTTCCACTCTCTCGCTTCTGTCGCGCCTCGCGATCTGTTTGGTTCCTTCTCAGGATGATAAGTTGCGGAGTCTCGGCCTTTTGTCTGCAACATCTGCCGTGATTTCTGCTCGTCTACTCGCCTCGCCAGGCTGCAAACAGACTCAAGAGCACGACGACAAGATGGTCTCTGTTACGCACCTCCCATCGACTCCGTCATCTGTCTCAAAGCCCTCGAAATCAATCCTAAAGACGTTCTCATCTGTCGCTGGCCAGAAACGCAAGCAGCTCGATCTCACGATCCCGTCTGAGCTCTCGACAGGATCGGCCTACTCCGACACCAATGCCAGCCCTACAACCGCCACCACACCCGGCGGTTCTCCTGGTCCCCGCAGAAAACGCTCCCGAGTCAAGTTTGATATCTCCGTGAGCTCGCCGGTGAGCCCAGTAAAGACGATGGACACTGAAGTTGATGAGAAGGCTGCTGAGAGAGAGAGGGCGTTGACGAGAGAGGAGGTTAGGCGCGCCATCCAGAGACACCTAATGGGCCATAGTGAAGGGTACGACCGTATCAAGGAGATGTTTTCGGTCGATCCCAAGGCCTTGGAAGATGATGGAACACCTGTCTTCGATCTACCTAGTCCAGTGTCGCTGAAAAACCATCTCATGGGCCTTTTAGGCAACGTTTCATCGCTGGACGGTTCATGCAGTGGTCTGGTACACGCGATGCTTAAAAGCGAATGGGTCGGCAGAGACACGGCGTATGTCAAACTGTTTGCTCAGTTTCTGGCCACTCTGTGTGCTGCTCGTGGTGGTTACCTTAATTCTGTCCTTAAAATGCTCGTTAACGGCTTGCAGCAAGGTAAGAACAGTCTCCTTCCCAACATATTTCTAAGATGACGGCAGACTAACATTAGGTACAGTCGATCCTCGATGCGGAAACTTGCCTGATTATGATCCTGTTGACAGTTCAGAGATATACCATCGAGTCCACTATGCTATACGTTCAATCGCGCAGGTCGTCCCCGCTTGCAGCGTTACTCTCTCTCCTATCCTATCCTCCAGCTTCCCCCACGACTCCGATCCAGTAAAAAGTCATCTTGCCTACACACGAAACCTCATCAAGATGATATCGTACCTCCCAGAACTTCGATCTGACATCCTTGCCCTCATCACAGAGAAGCTGGTCAAGATTGACGCCCAGAACCAAGTGAATATGGAAGACTTGGATGAAGATACTCAGCAGGATATCATGGACGCGCTAAATGCTGCGGACCCGGCTACCTTTGAAAAGGATGACGATGATGATCTGGATGAGGAGTCTGAGGTTGGTGAGGACGACGCTGATCCGGATCTCCAACGCATCAAGTCTGTAAAAGCGTGCATGCTCAAGGTTGACTTAATGGTCGACATCTTGTTCGAGTACTACAACTATCCTTTCATCTCTGGCTCGCTTGAAGACCAAGAACAAGTTCTCGATTTTCTCCTAGCTCATTTCCAAAGCATCATTCTTCCATCCTACCGCTCTCGACACGCTCAGTTCGTCCTCTTCCATTTCGCCCAGGCCTCCCCCATCTTCGTCGACCGCTTCGCCACCACATGTATCGAGATCATCCTGAGCAAGTCTCAGCCGGTTATCATACGCCAATATGCCGCTGCTTATCTTGCCAGTTTCGTTGCTCGCGGTGCTCATGTTTCTGGCGATGTGATCCGTGATGTATTCAGTCTACTTGGCTCACACGTCCTATCTCTTCTGTCATCTTACGAGGCAGACTGCCGTGGCCCCGACCTCCGTCGTTATGGGCCATTCTACTCCACTGCTCAAGCGCTATTCTATATCTTTTGCTTCCGCTGGAAAGATCTCACCATTGCTGCTGTTGAGGCTGAAGCAGAAGGCAACTCTCTCCCCCACCTGAATGTTGATGAGGTGTCTTTCTCACAGGAGATGACCAACATGCTACATCGAACGATCTACTCAAAGCTCAATCCTCTCAAGGTCTGCTCGCCAGGCATCGTTGCTGAATTCGCCAAGATCACCCACTACTTCGGTCTTCTCTACCTCTACCCGAAACTCGAGAGCAACAAACGTATCCGCATCCACAGCTTCCGCGGTATGGGTTCGATGGCCATGGATACAATGTATGGAACCATTGAACGCGAAACTCGTGCAGACGACAACCTCGCCTTCCAATTGGATGACTACTTCCCCTTTGATCCGTATAAGATGCCTCGCGGTGCCAGACGCCTGCAGGGTGATTATATTGACTACAAGGATGTCAGAGTCGTAGGCTTGGATGACCGTGGTCTAGACGAGGACGACGATGATGACACCGCCAGCGAAGACGAAGACGAAGATGAAAACGACGTCGACAGGCACACAGAGACAGAGGAGGAGTAACTCTACCAACATCTACGCATGCTCTTTGCACATACACCCAATTTTTCTTTTACAGCCATTTTTCTTTCTAATCTTGATACCCCGGTTTTTAACCACTTGCTTGAACCGAACCACAGGACAATGCTCTATCTACGGGCGTCAGTTATCTACCATTTTATCCTATCCTCTTTTTGCTCGATTTAGCGCTGCTCATCTACTTCCCCTTCCTACCTATGAAAGAATATTAAAAGTTTCATACCTGCCCATTCCCTTTTGTCCGCCTATGTTAGAGACAGAGGCAGGAATACAGTCTGTCCTCTTACCGTCTGCTTTTATTTAATCTCCATCTCATCGGTTTCCGGGTCTAGGTTGGTGTGGCGGCGTAAAAGCGGCTTTTTATTTGGCCTTTGATATCACCCTTGAAAAGTTGATCTATGTGAAAAGCAGGAGAAACTAAACCATAAATAAAAAGTTTTCTATATTTCTCTCGAATGTAATCCTAAAAGATGCCGTAACTGTCGTAGATTAACTGCATGGTGAAAAATGCAAATGCAAGAAGATACTAGTAATATCGTACAAGAGTGGGTTAAGAGATGCTGCCCTCCTTCCCTATGCCCGTTCGTTAGCCACTCTTAGCTGCTCTGCCGCCGTCCGGTAAAAAACATCTATACTCTCCTGATCTCTAAGGGGATTGACAGATTTATCCCATGCGTGTTTCTGTGACTCTATCATCATCGACCGAACAATCTTGCCTCCTCCGCAGTCCTTGAGCTTTTCCACAAACTCGTGCCCTTCGTGGAGCAGCATGTCCCACTCGCAGACGTACAGAAAAATATCCTTGGGCAGAGCATCTGCTAGCAGTGAAGGAGGTGCCAGTAAAGGCGAGGCGTATGGCAGATGTCTACTGGCTTCATGAGGCATGTAGCTGTGGTCGAACAAGGTCGTCATGAACTTCGGCAGCGTCTTGGACGGGAAGACGCTTCTGTCACGGCGTATGTGTCTGGGCAGGACGTAGTCGACTATCGGGTACCATGATATGATGGATATTATCCGCAGAGAAGAGCGAGGCGTCTGTGACTGGCCGTTATCATTGCTGCTGTCGCCGCCGTTGTTCGCGGTGGTGGCCGTGCTTGTATGTCGAAGCAGATGCTGTGCCGACTGGGACCTCGCGGCAGACGGCCTGCTGGTGCTGCCCGGGGGATACTGCGACAACGTCGACAGATGCAGGTTTATCGAGCTCCCGTCTCGCGTCTCGTAGGGGGTCAGCGTCGTCGACGGCGCCGGCGAGGGCTGGAGCGAGTCTTGCTGGAGCAGATGGCGGCGCAGGGGAACGGTGAAGGCGAGATTCCCGCCAGACGAGAAGCCGGACAGGCTGACCCGCGACACATCCAGCGCCAGCTCGGCCGCATGGTCCTCGAGATACTGCAGGGCCCTGACGCCGTCGTCCACAGCGGCCGGAAAGGGCGCTTCGGGCGCCAGGCGGTATTCCACGCTCACCACGACGCTGTCGGCGCCTTCGACCACCGCGCGAGCCCAGCGTGCGTCGTCCGTCGCCGTGCCGATGCAGAACCCGCCGCCGTGGAAGTTGACCACGACCGGGTACCGGTGGCC